ATTGGCAACACAGACTACATCAGACCTAGCAAGGCTGCTGGTCGACTGCCAGCGCAGCACGGTCGACCGCGTGCCAGCACGACTTGGTCGACCGCGTTCCAGCAGAGCAGAGTCGTGGCTTGCCAACGTTGCAAGTCCGCGGTGTGCCAACGCTGCAGTAAGTCGGCTGCACAGCGTTGCACCCGCCTGACAATGGTGCACCAGCTTCGCAGGTGCGGGCAGCTGGTTGGCGCCCAACTCCCCGTCATATGCCCAGCGCAGACACTCCACCCGTGACGGCGCCCACCAGCCACGTCGACCTCGGGATACCACCCCCGAGGTCGTACTCGCAGACAATACCCCTGGCGACTTTCGCGCACGTCGCCCGGGTATCCTGGTTGACCGGGTATTTCGCGGTCCTCCCGCGGTTTCGCGGCCCCCACGGTCCTCCCGCGGTTTCGCGGCCCCCACGGTCCTCCCGCGGTTTCGCGGCTCCCACAATCCTCCCGCGGTTTCGCGGCTCCCACGGTCCTCCCGCGGTTTCGCGGCTCCCACGGTCCTCCCGCGGTTTCGCGGCTCCCACGGTCCTCCCGCGGTTTCGCGGCTCCCACGGTCCTCCCGCGGCCGGCTCCGCCCAAGCGAGGATGGGGCCAAACACAACTCCCGTTGACAGGTGCTGCTGGGGGTGCTGAGCCTGTGGGTGCGGGGCCTGGGGGTGCTGAGCCTGGGGTTGCTGAGTCTGAGGGTGCGGAGCCTGGGGGTGCTGAGCCTGAGCGTGCGGAGCCTGAGGGTGCTGAGCCTGGGGGTGCTGAGTCTGGGGGTGCTGAGTCTGGGGGTGCTGAGCCTGGGGGTGCTGAGCCTGAGCGTGCTGTCTTGTCACGGCGGGAGCCACTCTCTCCACAGCGGCTGCGCGAGTGGTTTGCTCGACGCTGGAGCCGTGCTGCTGGAGCTGGGGGGCGTGCTGCTGGAGCTGGGGGGCCTATCGCCTGAGGTACTGCTGGAGCTGGAGGTCCTGCTGGTGCTGGAGCTGCCGGAGGTGCTCGTACCGGAGGTACTGGAGCTGCTGGAGCTGGAGCTGATGGAGGTACTGCTGGTGCTGGAGCTGCTGGAGGTGCTGGAGCCGCTGGTCCCGGAGGTGCTCGTACTGGAGGTACTGGAGCTACTAGAGCTGGTGGTGCTGCAGTAATTGGAGCTGGAGGCGCTGGAGCTGTTGCTACTGGAGGTGCTGCTGGAGCTGGAGCTGCTGGTGGTGCTCCAGGAGTTGGAGCTGGAGGCGCTGGAGCTGTTGCTACTGGAGGTGCTGCTGGAGCTGGAGCTGCTGGTGGTGCTCCAGGAGTTCGAGCTGGAGGCGCTGGAGTTGTTGCTGCTGGAGGTGCTGCTGGAGCTGGAGCTGCTGGTGGTGCTGCCGGAGTTGGAGCTGGAGGCGCTGGAGCTGTTGCTGCTGGAGGTGCTGCTGGAGCTGGAGCCTCTGGAGGTGCTGGAGCTGGTGGTGCTGCGGGAGTTGGAGCTGGAGTCCCTGGAGCTGGGGGTACTGTTGCTGTCTCTGCTGGTTCTGGAGGTGCTGCGCGGCCGCGGCCGTACTTTGTTCCACTCCTTTAGCAGATTCTTGTCCTCCCGCCTTCCACTGGTCCTACTCCTCCCTTACTGTGTCCACCGCCTGCCCAGTCGCAGTCGCAGTTACAGCCGGCCTCTCCACTGCCTGGTCCTTCCCCTTACTCTGGGCCGACTAGAGGTCTTACGGAGCGTCGTGAGCGTGAGTCTCTACCTGCGTCGCCTGTTCGCGCTGTTCGCACTGGTAGTCGTGTTCCGCGTCCGCGTCCTCCTGCTGTCCCAGGCACGCACCAGATGGCACTCCGTCCTTCCACTACTCCACAGCGTGTCCCTCTGCCGTCTCCTCCTGCGTCCTCTCTTCCTGACGTTGCTGACCCGCCGTCCGACCTTGCTCGTGCTGCCAGTCCTACTGTCACTCGTCTTCTAGCCACTGTTGTCACTGACCCTTCGTTTGCGTCCACTGCTGCGTCTGCTCTAGTTGCTGAGCTTGTTGACTTTGCTGCCGCCTGCCGTCTAGACTACGCCGCTAGTCTTGTTGCTGAGTCTGAGTCTGTCTGTCCTCCGTCCGTCGGGGGTGAGTGTGCTCTTGGCACGGACGTCCTTGAGGACAGGCAGGAGGACTTTGAGTGTTTTGCAGCTGCTGTACCTCATCTCGTGTCCATGCTGATTGCACCTGAGGGAGACCCGGATGCACCAGACATCCCGACCCCGCGCTCTTACGCAGAGGCGATAGAGGGTCCCTACTCCTCTCAGTGGCAGACAGCCATGGACGCAGAGATGGCATCCTGGAAGTCCACAGGCACTTACGTTGACGAGGTTCCCCCACTTGGGGCGAACATCGTCAGTGGCATGTGGATTTTCAGGGTGAAGCGGCCGCCGGGTTCTCCGCCTGTCTTCAAGGCGCGTTACGTTGCACGAGGCTTCAGTGAGCGACAAGGAGTTGACTTCTTCCAGACCTTCTCCCCCACCCCGAAGATGACCACTCTTCGGGTGCTACTGCACGTTGCCGCGCAGCGTGACTACGAGCTTCACTCTCTTGACTTCAGCACAGCCTTCCTACAGGGCAGCCTGCACGAGGAGATCTGGCTGCGCCGCCCACCTGGCTTCACTGGGTCGTTTCCTGCAGGTACCCAGTGGAGCCTCCGGCGGTCAGTCTACGGTCTCCGCCAGGCTCCCCGCGAGTGGCACGACACACTGAGGACGACTCTTGCGGCTCTTGGGTTTGCTCCTTCTACTGCTGACCCGTCGCTGTTTCTACGCACGGACACTTCTCTGCCGCCGTTCTACATCCTCGTGTACGTCGACGACTTGGTCTTTGCCACTGCTGACACTGAGGGACTCGCCCACGTGAAGTCGGAGCTGCAGAAGAGACACACGTGCACAGACCTGGGTGAGCTGCGCAGCTATCTTGGCTTGCAGATCACCCGGGACAGAGCACAGCGCACCATTACCTTGACTCAGTCACACATGGTGCAGCAGGTCCTTCAGCGCTTCGGCTTCGATTACTCCTCGCCACAGGCCACTCCTCTGCCTACCGGTCACTCGCTCTCAGCTCTGCCTTCGGATGAGTCCGTAGAGCCGAGTGGCCCGTATCCAGAGCTTGTGGGCTGCCTCATGAACCTGATGACCTGCACTCGACCTGACCTTGCTTACCCTCTTAGCATCCTGGCTCGCTACGTTGCGCCCGGGAGACACCGACCAGAGCACTGGAAGGCCGCTAAGAGGGTGATGCGCTACTTGTGCAGTAAGTTGGGCATGGGGCTCGTGCTTGGAGGACGGGCTCGAGTTGTCCTCACTGGTCACGCAAACGCTTCTTGGGTTGACGACTTGGCTACGCAGCGGTCGTCACAGGGTTACACTTTCAGCCTTGGCTCTGGCTCTGTTTCTTGGCGGTCTACCCGCTCGTCTTCTGTTCTCAGCTCCAGTTGTGAGGCTGAGATCTACGCAGGGGCCATGGCTGCACAGGAGTTACGCTGGCTCACCTACCTGCTGACCGACTTGGGCGAGCCGCCTCGTTTTCCTCCAGTTCTGTACGTCGACAACAAGGCCATGATTGCCTTGTGTCAGGAGCACAGACTGGAGCACAGAACGAAGCACATCGCTCTGCGCTACTTCCTTGCTCGAGAGTTGCAGCAGCGTGGTCAGCTTCGTCTTGTTTACGTGGCCTCTCAGGCCAACACTGCTGATATCTTCACCAAGGCACTTCAGCCTTGTGATCATCAGCGTTTCTGTACTGTTCTAGGCCTTGTGCCTACTTGGCCTCACTTGCTCACTTCTTGACTTTGCTTGTACTGTGATCTATATACTTATACCTGCATGCTTCCACTTGCTAGGTTGTGATCACTGTACTGCTTGTTCTTCTTTATATATAACTCTGCATGTGAACTGGCCTTGTGGCCATTTGCTTGTGCTTAGAATGCGTGGTGACGTTGTGATCCACCCTGAGCTTGACCTTGCTTCGTTCTCTTGCTTGTCCCCCACTTTGCCTATGGGGGTGTGTCAGAACTGTGCATTTATATGCTCTAGGCTGTAGTGGGGCACTCCTTATGGGGTATAGCCCAATTAGGTTTTGCTATACAAACCTTGTACTGCTGTCATTCTAGTCATTCCTTCTTTCCTATTACTGACAAGTATTTCTGCGAACTGTTGCGCGCGTGGGATTGGGTTGTCGGGATTCGGGGTCATGGGTACTGTGGGGTCTTGTCCGTAGTTCAGGAAAAACGGTGACTGTTGGGTCGTGGCAGATGGCGAGTTGTTGTACGCGAACTCGATGAGTGGCAGTTGCTGTTCCCACGTGGTCGGGTCGTCGCACATGGCTCGGATGTGTCACGAGACGAACTTAGCTAGGAACGGGTTTAACTAAGGGCCTAGGCTTAGTAGCCTAGGCCAAGCGGGTGTCGAGGGAGTTGTGCCAAGAGAGAATCGAGAATATGTTGTTTCACTATAGGTTTGCAAGAACATATAGCAAAGGAACATAGAGAAGGTGCACCACCAATGTAAGAAGGCATAACTACACTAAAGCTAATGCTACAGGCAGTTATAAACATACATATAAAATATGTATCGCGACACACCCCCTTAACTGCCTGCAGCACATAACTTGAGCAAGTCACACCCCTGGAACCTGGGCAAGAGGTAGGAGAAGCAGAGGAAATAGCAACACAGATCAACCATGATAAATGCAACAACTGCAGGTGCAGGACCCGAGAGGTGGGCGTGAGAGCAAGCGCCGTGGCTGCAACGAGCAGCTGGACAGCGTGGCTCAGCACCTCCGGGGGCGTGCCTACTACAGGCAGCAGGTGCAGTGATGGCAGATAGGGCCACAGTGACCTCAGCCACGGCAGATGCAGCAGCGACAGGTGCAGGATCCGGCAGGTGGGCGTGAGAGCAGGCGCTGTGGCTGCAACGAGCAGCTGGACAGCACCGCTCAGCACCTCCGGGGGCGTGCCTGCTACAGGCAACGGCTGCAAATGCCCGACTTACTTCTTCCACCCCTTTACCCGCCACTCAACCCCTCTGGTGCTGGCGGCTGCGCTGGTGCTGGCGGCTGGCGCTGGGGCTGGTTCCTGGTACTGGCGGCTGGCGCTGGGGCTGGTTCCTGGTGCTGGCGGCTGGCGCTGGGGCTGGTTCCTGGTGCTGGCGGCTGGCGCTGGGGCTGGTTCCTGGTGCTGGCGGCTGGCGCTGGGGCTGGTTCCTGGTGCTGGCGGCTGGCGCTGGGGCTGGTTCCTGGTGCTGGCGGCTGGCGCTGGGGCTGGTTCCTGGTGCTGGCGGCTGGCGCTGGGGCTGGTTCCTGGTGCTGGCGGCTGGCGCTGGGGCTGGTTCCTGGTGCTGGCGGCTGGCGCTGGGGCTGGTTCCTGGTGCTGGCGGCTGGCCCTGGAGCTGGTGCTGGTGCTGGCGGCTGGCCCTGGAGCTGGTGCTGGTGCTGGCGGCTGGCCCTGGAGCTGGTGCTGGTGCTGGCGGGTGGCCCTGGTGTTGGTGCCTGGTGCTGGCGGCTGGCCCTGGAGCTGGTGCTGGTGCCGGCGGCTGGCCCTGGTGCTGGTGCCTGGTGCTGGTGCTGGCGGCTGGCCTTGGTGCTGGTGCTGGTGCTGTCGGCTGGCCCTGGAGCTGGTGCTGGTGCTGGCGGCTGGCGGGTCCAATGGCAGGTGATGCGCGCTGGGCGGGACGGAGGTCTCTGCTGGCGGTGGCGCTGCTGGCGGTGTAGCTGCTGGCTGTCCCGCCATGCCCTTCCCCTGCTTCCCTCTCCCCCACAGCGTTCGGCCGCCACTCCCTGCCCTTCTTCCCTCACCCTCCCCACAGCGACCGCCGCAGCACACGCGTACAAGCATGACGGGGGGTGGTGTCGGGCACGGGGTGGGGGTAATGCGACGGGCAGAGCGACGGCGGGATAAGGTGCGGTTGGGGCGACGGGAAGCAGGGCGACGGGCGACGGTGTGCGGACGGGTGGCGGGAATCTGGTGACGGGCGGCAGCGCGACGGGACGGGCGACGGGCTGCAGCAGCGGAAATTTCGCGGGTGGCGGGCTGCAGTAGCGGGTAGTGCACGGGGTCGACGGGGGCGAGAGCGACGGCGCGAAACAGCAGGTCGACGAGCGCCGTCACTCCCGCTGCGACCGTTGCGCCTGTCACGACTGCCGTGACGGATTTTGCTACGGGCGAGCGACGGGGAGGGACGGACGGAGCCGCGATTTGCTGCTTGACGGGACGCGCCATTGCGAAAGCTAACGGTGGGCCCTTAAAAAAAAATAGGTCGGGAACGACCTAGCTCAATACCATGTCACGAGACGAACTTAGCTAGGAACGGGTTTAACTAAGGGCCTAGGCTTAGTAGCCTAGGCCAAGCGGGTGTCGAGGGAGTTGTGCCAAGAGAGAATCGAGAATATGTTGTTTCACTATAGGTTTGCAAGAACATATAGCAAAGGAACATAGAGAAGGTGCACCACCAATGTAAGAAGGCATAACTACACTAAAGCTAATGCTACAGGCAGTTATAAACATACATATAAAATATGTATCGCGACAGGATGAGCTGTTCCATGGTCTGATTGGTCCGTTCTGTCTGTCCGTCGGTTTCGGGGTGGTATGATGAACTGAACTGTAGTCGCGTGCCGAACTGCTGCCACAGGTTTCGCCAGAAGTTGCTGGTGAATTTCGTGTCGCGGTCGCTGATAATTGATGCTTGTATCCCGTGCAGTCGAACGACGGTGGAGATGAAGAGGCGGGCTGTTTCTTCGGCTGTGATTGACATCTTGCAGGCTGCGAAGTGTGCCATCTTCGTCAGCCGATCGACGACGACCAGGATCGCGTCGTTCCCACTTGCTCCAGCTGGTAATCCCGTGACGAAATCCATCGTCACCTGCTGCCAAGCACGCTCTGGGGGTGGTATCGGCTGCAACTGTCCTGCCGGTCGTTGTCGTGACGATTTCATGAGCTGGCAGGTGGGACACGATGCCACGTGTCGTTGCACGTCGGTCAGCATCTCGGGCCAGTAGTAATACCGTTGCAGCTGCTGCCGTGTTTTTTCTACCCCGAAATGTCCTGAGGTAACCCCGTCGTGTGCCTCCTGTAGTAACAGTTCCCTTAGTAAAGTGTAGCCCGGTACCCAGATGCGGTCGGTGCCGGCTTTTACGTAGTACACCCCTTTTGCTGCTGCGAACTGCTGCGAGTTGCCTCCAGTAAAGAAGGGGTCTGTCTGATACCCGTGGGTAAATAGGCCTGTCAGTAGCGGGCTGGTCTGTGCGAGTAGTATGGCGTGGATCTGGGCAGTTGGACGGGTCAGTGCGTCGGCAATGTTCGATGTTCCCTTTTTATAGGTGACCGTGTAGTGGAAATTTGACTCGAGGAAATCGAGCCAGCGGATCTGTCGTGGGTTGAGGTGGGGCTGTGCGCGGAGGTACTGTAGTGATCTGTAGTCTGTCCGTACTGTCACGTCTGCGCCGGTCAAGTAACAGCGCCAGACCTTGAATGCATGCACGATCGCGAGCATTTCGCGGTCGTGTATCGGGTAATTCTTCTCGGGCGGATGCAGTTTTTGTGACTCGTATGCGATGGGCTGTAAACCGTTGCCGAAATCCTGTAGCAGTACGGCTCCAATGGCGATATCGCTTGCGTCTGTAACTACTTCGAATGGGCGGTGTGGGTCGGCGATGCGCAGTACGGGCGGTGAACAGAGAACATTTTTCAGGGCAGAGAAGGCAGCATGCTCTTTCTCCCCCCACGTAAAAGCGACCCCCTTCCGCAGTAAATCCGTCAGTGGGGCGGTTAACCGTGCCATGTCGGGGACGAACCGACGCACATAATTAACGAACCCTAAAAAACTATGCAGCTCCGTGATGTTCGTCGGGGGGTGCCATGCTTTTACCGTGTCCAGCTTCTTTGGGTCGATCTCAACTCCAGCCTCCGAAATAACATGCCCCAAAAATTCTAACCTATCCTGGAAGAACTCGCACTTGGAACCCTTGGTCAGTAGTCTGTGCTCGTCTAAAACTTTAAACACTGCTTCCAGATATGCTAAGTGCTGCTGCTTATCGCGACTGTAGACTAGGATGTCGTCGAGGTAAACTATCACGCATTTATCTGAAATGGTCTAAACGCCTCGTTCATGGTCATCTGAAATGTCGCCGGTGCGTTGGTCAGCCCGAATGGCATCACGGTGTACTCGAATGACCCATACCTAGTTCTAAATGCCGTTTTTACGCAGTCCGATGGTTCGACCCGGATCTGGTGGTAACCTCCCCGTAAATCAATTTTCGAAAAGACCCGTGCTGTTCGCAACTGATCTATCAGTTCGTCGGCTCGGGGAATGGGGTATCGCGACTTGACTGTTACCCTGTTCAGTGCTCTGTAGTCGATACACAACCCCCGTCTTTTTTTGGTGTGAATAGTATCGGTGCGGCGAACGGTGACGAGCTCGGTCGGATGAATTTTTTCTCTAACAGGTAATCTAACTGCTTCCTCAGTTCATCGAGCTCTGGCTGTGTCAGTCGGAATTGTCGCTGTACAGTTGGCTGTGCCCCTGGTTCTAACTCTATTCGGTGGTCATGTGCCCGCTGAGGTGGCAGTCCCTCTGGTAAATCGTCCGGAAAAATCCCCGGGTACCGTTTCAACAGTTCCTGTAGCTCGGGCGGTACCGCTGCCAGCAGTTTCTGAAAATCGCTCGGCTGCTCTGCTTCTCCTACCAATGCTATATCCACTGCGTGTCAGAAACAGCAGTTAGAAAGTTAGAACAAGAAAGAGAGAGGCTTTCACTAGCAAACATTGGGATACATATAGCAAACCCTAACAGGGCTGTACTCACTATAGAGTACCCCACTGCAGACTAGAGAAATATAACATTCTGACACACCCCCATAGTCAAAGTGGGGTATAATCAGCACAGCAAGCAGTCAGAGCAGGTTCACAAGTTCAAGCAAAGCTAGAGGCATTCACAAAAGGCAAGTGAGGAGGAGGAGGCGGGACTGTGAGAGGAGAGGAGATAGGAGGCGACGGCTGAAGCTGCAGACACACGGGCAACAGGAGCCGCACTGATGGAGTGGCTACCGGGACAGAGCCCCGGACTACAGGAGTAACTGGCTCCGCGGCTAACTCTGAGCGGCAGGAGCAACGGACCCATGGGCAACTGGCGCAGCTGGCTCATACTGGGCTACCGGAACAGAGCCCCGGACTACTGGCGCTGCTGACGACACGACGGCTGCCTCCGCTCAACCTCCACCAACTGTCCCACCCCCCTTTCACACACCCCCTGCTGCACCCCTAGCTCCACTCCCACGTCACCCCCCTAACGCCACTCCCATACCCTCAGCGGCAGCTGCAGCAGTGGGAGACGGAGGAGGAGGAGGAGCAGGGGACGGTTCACACACCCGCCACCCCCATACCCGCCACCCCCATACCCGCCACCCCCATACCCCCAACGCAGGGCAGAAACGCGGGCAGCAGCTGGGGCGGCATGTGAGCGGAAGCGGGGCGGCGCGCGGGCCCCCAGGGCACCTCGACGAGCGACGGGAGGGGCGACGCGCGGCCCCCCAGGGCGCCGCGACGGGCGACGAGAGGGGCGACGCGCGGCCCCCCAGGGCGCCGCGACGGGCGACAGGAGGGGGGGGCGACGCGCTGGCCCCCAGGGCGCCGCGACGGGCGACAGTCAGGGCGACGCGCGGCCCCCCAGGGCGCCGCGACGGGCGACGGGCAGGGCGGCGCGCGGGCCCCCAGGGAGCCGCGACGGGCGACGGGAGGGGGGGCGACGCGCGGGCCCCCAGGGCTCCGCGACGGGAGACGGGCAGGGCGACGCGCGGCCCCCCAGGGCGCCGCGACGGGCGACGGGCAAGGCAGCGCGCGGGCCCCCGGGGCGCCGCGTGAGGCAGTAAACCGCCGCGCGCCTCGGGGCGCACGGCAGGCAGAAAACCGCCGCGCGCCCCGAGCGCGCGGCGGGCAGAAAACTGCCATGCGCCCCGAGCGCGTGGCGGGAAGAAAAAATGTCGCGCGCCACGAGGCACGCGACAGACAGGAAAGCAGCGGAAGCAAGTGGGCCCACAGGCCAGGAGCGTAGTCGCTCAGATAGCATGTCAGAATCAGCAGTTAGAAAGTTAGAACAAGAAAGAGAGAGGCTTTCACTAGCAAACATTGGGATACATATAGCAAACCCTAACAGGGCTGTACTCACTATAGAGTACCCCACTGCAGACTAGAGAAATATAACATTCTGACACTGCGTACACGTCAGCTCCAGCGGCGACAGCCCATTTCATCGTGATGGCGTTGACGTGGACCGTTGAAGACTCGGGCGACTGCCAGCGAGGTAGCACGACCCACTTACCTCTGCTTCGCACAGTGCAGCTACCCGTCGTCCAGTCGATTCGCGGATTATACCGTCGCAGCCAGTCACGTCCCAGTAAAATGTCGTGCCCATCCAGTGTCGTCGCGAGCATTTCTTGTGTAAACCCAAAGTTCCCCCCGCAGCGGACTTTTACTCTTTCCACCTTCTCCCGTATGGCCAGCGGCGTGCCGTCGACTAAGCGTGCATCTATCTCCGGTAAACACCGACTAAGTGTCAGCTGCAGCTTCCGTGCGGTTGCGGTATTAACTAAGCTGTGACTTGCTCCTCCGTCGATAAAAATCTTCACTGCTGCTCCCTGTATTTTCCCGTGAATCAGTACTGGGCAATCCGTCGCTGTACCCTCCTTATTCATCCGAGCCCGATCGATAGCGTGAATCGGTACTGTGACTCGGTGAGGTTGGGCGAGCAGGCAGTCTCGTCAGTAGTTGGCCCAATTTCTACTGACTGCTGGCGTTTCCCTGCCTCTGAGACTCCCTCCCCTGCTCTGCTCCACTGCGCCTT